TTCTACTTAGCTGTGGAAGAAAAAATCAACAGATGAACAAGGGGATTCCAGAATTCAACATATTTGCATAGCATCAATGAATAACATACATGTAAATGAATTCAATCATTTTGAATCCAGTAATTAAATATCAACAGAATTCATCAATGTAAACTTTACAAGCTGACCAAGCTTATATTCTACCCAAAACAAACAAAATTGAGGTAACTAAATGCAATTACTTTTCTTTATAAAGTAAATCTTTATCAGATCTCTTATAAAAAAATAAAAGATGAATCTTAATTTTTTTTTTAATTCAATAAATCATAATATTTACCAGATTCTGATATGTCATCCCAATATGGCGAGTCAAATTCAAACTCAGCTTTTAAGATCTGTTGGAATAACTGAGCATCACTTTCATCATAAAAAGGTGGATAACCACACAATCTGTAAATAAAGATAAAAGTATTCTATAAAATCAACATTCCTCAATCCAATTAAAAGATAGCCTTGAGAGGCAGCTTTGATTGTAAGTACAAATGATTGTTTGTAGCCTGTACAGCAAGCATGAGTCAATTGTGAATTGTTCCATGCCATGAGTGGGCATATAAAAATCAAAAGAATCCATAAAGAATTGTTGCTTGAAAAGTGTGTGAAAGTTGCACTATATGGATAATAGAGTGAATACACTAAGTTGAAAACAACATTTTGGTGAAAAATTATCAGATTATCCTGAAAATTGATAGTGATCATCTTCCCATTGACATTGACCCACAACATCAAAATCAAAAGAATTCTTAAAGAATTGTAGCCTGTAGAGTTCTGTACATATGTGTACATTGTAAAAAAAATGCTTGATGATTGTTTCTAAGAAACAAATCTTTTGACAACGATCGATAGGTTTCTAGAAACCAGTTATAAAAAAAAACAGAATAATTCTTTGTATTGTTGTTTAGATTTTCATTTTATATGTGTCATACTGAATTATCTCTTACATACACTATTTTCTATTCTAGCAGTTAAATATCACTGATACGTTCTTAGAGATACTTACAATATATAAGATATCACACCAATAGACCAACAATCAACAGCTTTCCCGTATGGTTTTTGTGCTAAAACTTCTGGTGCTGTAATAATCAAAAGATTATGTACATTAATTAATTTCCTTGTTAATTTTGACCCTGTAATATTCTCAACAACAAGAAACTGCAAATTGCAATTTCACAATATCACATTCTATATTTGGACCAGTTACTTACAAATGCTTTAAAGATATATTCTATTCTTAATGAAAACATGACCCAGATATTCAAACCACATTCATAAACCAGAGAGTAGTTCACATTAGCACTTTTGTCTGTTTATGGATTTTCTAATGGCAGTCATAACAGGAATATGACTATTCAATTTAGTTGATAATTGAGAAATGTTATGAGGTCAATGAAAAGATACTAATTAGAATGGATTCATCAGCAGTCAATAAGTCATCATTTTATTTCAATACAGTTGTAATGAAAAATGTATAATCGCCTTACAGTGTCTTCGATATTGGAAAAGACTCTTGAAAACATTCAAGGGATTATATACATGTATCCAGTTGACCAAGATATATATGGTCAAGGATAATCTGAGAAAAATCTGTGCCGAGAGGGTTGGCCAAGTACCAAGATTAATTCATCTGCTTTGATCTATTAAAAGTTCCTTGCAAAATTTCAAAAAAAAAAACTCATGAAAGTAACTTGCCAACATAGCCTGGTGTACCACAAGCTGTAGCCATAATACCAGAATCTTCCATCTTTGATAAACCAAAATCACTTATCATTATCTTAGAATCAGGGTCAGAGTTGTAGTACAATAAATTTTCTGGCTGAAAAATCATTACATTCAACACATATTAAGTAAGTAAATAAACAAAATTAGATACATAATAAAGATGATAATTACATTTTACTAATCTTCACAATGTCAAGGTACTTCATCTTAGAGCTTCATTGGGTTCTTTTCTTATATCAATTTGTTTGGATTGTACACTAACAAACACAGGTAATTAGAGACAGAAAGACTGTTCAAGAAACATGCCATTTTTTTAAAAGTCTTTCTGTCAACGGCTTTGAAAGGCTGTATGTGCTAGAATACATTTCTGAAACCTTTAAGATCTAACTAAATACACTGAGGAAGATATGAAAAGATAAAATCTAAAAGCATTATCAATCAAGTATTGCAAGTAGAGGACCATACTCACTGTAAGGCAACAATGATGGATGAAAGTCTCAGAAGTCTGACAGAAGTCATTCACATAACGAATGTCAATTTTTATAATGGCAAAATATCAAAGGTTGCCATGGACTGTTTCATGTCAGGACACAGCACACACCTGGTATGGTAGTCTCAGATAACAAATATTTCTTTAAAAATTAACTAATTAATTAATTTAATGTTATTTACTGTGCATGTATTAGGCTACAGAATTTTAAATATCAAAATTGAATATATCAAAGTAATTGATTAAAGCTATATAATCATGAAGTAGTACCTTTAAATCTCTGTGTACAATTCCTATATCATGCATAAAATCAACAGCTTCTAAAACTTGTTTGATAAGGTTGCTGGCATCTTTTTCTGTGTAACTACCTTTCTCGACAATACGGTCAAATAATTCACCTCCT